ATTGGAATTCATCTAATTGTTTCTACTTGGTATAAAATTTGTAAGCCAACATAATTCGTAATAATGTTAATAACAAAAATATTTTTTTTATGCATAATTTGAAATATTCGCTTTCAAGACAATTTTCGGTACCAAGTTAAAAAAATTTGTGTAAAATGTAATAAAACAAAGGCTGGACAATATTTAACCATAATTTTTAGTCATACAGGAATAAGAATAAAATTGATATCGATGCCAATCAATAAGTTCATGTCACTGTAAAAAAGGAGTTTTTCGTGTTTTTCAATTGAGAGATTACTTTAAATATTAATTATCAATTTTTCCCGAACCGTACAATTTCTTTCAAATAACGACTTTGCCATCATTAATGACGGCACATGGGGAAACAAAAATGCTGCACGATGAAGATAAATAACCCTTGAGTAAGTATTCAAGTTAAAAAAAAAAAAAATATGGTAATTAAGTAAACAGGTAAAATAGGTACATCATTCAGAAATTCTTTTAAAATATGTTGTATTGTCAGTGGAGACGCCTTTTTAAAAGCCATCATTAAAAGATAAACGGGAGAAAAGCGTATAGGTTCGAAAGCGTGGGTAAAAAATACCTGTGACAGAGTTGAAGAAAAAGTGAGGGGGGGGGGGAGAAAAATGTTACAAAATTATACAAGTATCATCGTTCGCAAAAGGAATAAAGAGGGGTTGGAAGCACTGAGGAATTTTTGCGCGTTACATGTAAAATAAAAAAAAAATCCCTGGGGGGGTCTCGGTTTATCAGCTCTTTCCCCCCCGCCGTATCCCACTTCTCGCCTCATTCACTCGCTTTCTTTAATTCCATTCTATATATCCACTTGACCTTTCGATTATCGCACACAGAAACAAACAACCTACGCTACCTACTCGGACCCACCACTTGGTGCTGTTATTGATATGTACGGAAAAACAAACTGATAAAGAAAGACAAGAAGGTACCTATATTACTTAGTTTATGTATATACCTACTACAATTTCATACGTAAGAGCGCAGTGATAAAATTGCCCACATTAGCGCGGACGTGGAGGTAAACTAATTAAACTCATAATATCGATGATGACGATGAAAACAATAAAAATATAAAAATACTATTGAGCATGTCATATAATAATATTATGGCGTCTCTAGGACTATAACCTTTAAAAATAATTATAACCCCCGCTAATATATAGTATTTCGTAATGAGACTTTTTCATTATGGTCATAATAATTGATTTAAATAATCATTTATTGTCGATGTACACGAAAAACAAAACATTTTTTGTAACGCTTGAAACTAGCAATAATCTATACTGTGCACACTCAACATATCAATAATCCACATTCAATTTAAGAAAATTAAAATCGAGTCATTAAGAACCCACCGGTTAACGGTACCTACTTTATTATGACGTATATCATGGCCTGCAAAATAATGTATATTTTTTTAAGCAACTCAAATGGTTATTACGAATTAAAGTTTTTCTCACATACGAGATTCCTTGATTAATTATTTCTTTTACACGTGTACTATTTGTTTTCGGGCACTTGTTACTATAATCAGCTGCAGGATATTGGGACGTTAGGAGCAAATATGTAACCGTTTGAGTAACCCAAGTTTCACAATTTAACAGAAAAAAAAATTTGAATTTTATTATGTAAACACGAAATATCGTCCTTTTCACGATACCTGCCATATTATTTATACACTCCTTTGTCGAATACGACTTTCATCTAAAAAGTATAGACTTGTTTCCCAAGTTTGTACATTTGAATGATTATTTGCATAATTGGTTTAAAAAAATCTTTGCAAAATAATTCAAGTGCCAAACAAGCTTGAGTTTGAGGACCGAGAAAAAAATGGTAAAAATTAGTTGTATGCTCCATATTACCTGTTGGTTTTGAAATTAAATTTTCTTAACTAACAAGGATGCCATTAAAACTGACAATTATTTTTATTCAAAGCTAGCATATTACGTACTAAGTATCATATACATACAATCTTATCTCTACTACTTGCGCATGTTTACCTCAGTATGTTGCCATCTACAGCTTCGATCACTGGGTTAAAATTGCTTGGTTCTAATGGTCCAAGTATTTCATTATTTAATTCACCTGTCAATTTTCGTGCAGCCTTCTGCAGTTCTGCAGTGTTTGATTGTATTTGACGCAGTATGTTGTATATGTATAATATGTTATATCATCATCGAGCTTCGACTGTCGACAGTATTTATTTGTAGTTTCGAGTATCATCGAACTCGACTTACTCGATTTACTCGACCGGCAGAAATACATATACATATATATACACACACATATATACACATACATGGCAAATATGGCAGCTGGGCAGGGCACGTCTATCGGTCTATGTCTATACACATCTACACACAGCACACAATGTTGTTGGACCGTTGGACGTAAATCTCACTTTACATAGTTAGGGTATATTTCTAAAATCATGCTTCAGAGTTTATGAATTACAAGAGTATTGTAATACCTGTATACATTAATACTTGCTTACTGAGATTCTTAGCGACGTGTTTCTCTGCAATCTGCAAGTTGTCGGGGGAGGATTATTAGGATAGGATGCCCGTCGAGAGTCGCTAGGAATTTCGAGTTGGTGGTTGGACTTTTTCATCCCAGGAGGATACACATTAATTGAGGTAAATACCCTGCAATAATAAAAACCCGAGTGCCATGTCACGTGTTAAGATTAAATAAACTGGGCCAATGTAAACATGCAGTACTATTGAGAATTTTTCGTTTATATATTTTGTACAGTGTACATTTTGTAATTATTGTAGGCCGAAAGAGGTTAAAATTGTTTATAAGTATATCAGCTTCTTTCTTGTTGTATTTTCCAGTCTCTCTATATATATATATATTAGAATGGCTACCCTCGAGGACAAGATATTGGGTGAAAAGTCACAGTATTATTGCAGTAGTTCAAGCGAAGATGAAAATGAAAATGATTCGAGCTCGGACAAGGAGGATGAGGGCTGCCGTGATGATGCTCTTGGAATGCCCACAGAGGACAAGCAAATGACAACCACGGATTTTTCCGAGTGGGATGGCACCTCCAGTAATACCGGACCAAAGGGAGTCATAAAGGTTCTTTATCAATTATTAATACAATTTAATCAACGTGCATGATGCTTAAAAAAACCTGTACAACCGCTGTCATAGTGAAATTTTATTTTGGAACTATAATTTATTAGCATATTACAAAGAGGTATAACAATACCTGTACGCTGTAGTGGTTAACTAAAAATAAAAAATGACTAAATAAAATGAAATATTTATTTGTAGGACTGGCAAAGATTTAAACAAATTGAGAGCGAAAGAAGGGCCGAACAAGAAAGAGAACGACTAGCTCTTATGAAAAAGCTTACCCTTACCTGCCGCAGTGCTTTAGAGGAGGAAAGGGAAAAGATGTTGGAAACAGATCCCGAGTTTGCGGAGTTTATGGCTGACGAGTTTTTACTTGAACACCAGAAACAAAGAATGCTCGAGTTGATGGCCAAGGCAGAAAAATTGAGATTTGGCAAACTTATTACCTTGGAAAATTCAGAGGAGTTCCTCAAAGCTATCGATGAGGAAGACAAATCTGTCACCATTATTATACACATTTATCGAAAAGACGTTTCTGGCTGTCGAGCCATGAATGCCAGTCTAAAAGAGCTTGCCGAAGAGTACCCCTTTGTTAAGTTTTGTAAAGTATTAGGTAATTTTTCAATTGAAACATACTCTTGTTACCGAGTTGACGTTTTTTAATAATAAGTATGAGTAAAACTCGCGACATGTTTAATTATTGGTTTCAGTCTCTTCCATCAATGTCAGCAAACACTTTAAAAAGGAAGGTGTACCAGCTTTATTGGCGTACAAAAATGGCCAAGTTATTGGAAATTTCGTTCATTTGACCGACAGCCTAGGAGATGACTTCTTTACTTCGGATGTTGAGTCTTTTTTGATAGAGCACAGTCTGATTCGCGATAAAAACTGTGTTCCAGCAATCATCCAAAATAACGATGATTCAGAAAGCGACTAATTGATCTCAATGTTATAATATAGAAGAACTGTATTGTAGCAATATATTCGTGTCATTAAAAAAATCAAACGCATGTACTTACTCAAAATTGATTTTTTTAAATAAGTAGATATCCATACTTATATTGTATATGTATTATTCGATTACGTACACATAATATTAGTTGATAAAAATTTTCACTCATTTAATGACACTGGAAAAAAATTTCATTTTATTTGTAATTAAAGTTAATTTAATAAGTTTATTATATTAATAAAACCCTATAATCTACAAATCGTTCTCAGTTGAATTTCCAATAAATAATTTCTAATACAGAATCTTGTGATGCTCTTTTTAATAGGTATGTGAATCATTCGATTTGAAAAAATTTCAAGTTTATTGAGAATTTGATGTAAATTTTACACCCGTTTCCGAGTTAACATTTTCTTTTTTTTACTTGCATTACCATGCTAGTCAAGCTGGGGTGGTCTAACTTTCCTCTCAAGTTCGGTATATTCTTTCCCAGATGCCCCGATCCCCTCCAACATCAAATTAGGCGGGGCGGTATGTGCGTGTGCAAATGTGCGACGTGTGTGCGTGAGATGCATACAGTATAGCGCAGTGCTCTTATATAGCGTATAGCGAATTAGCGAAGCGTATCATAGGTTTATAGGTATAGTGTGTACTGTACTTCTGTGTGCAGCTATAGCATAATAGCACATTCAGGACATTCAGGTACCAGATTCTGGTAAAGAAAAGAAAACAGTTCGTATAACCGTATGAAGTAAAGGTATATCATTGTCTGTCGCGCGTGAGTTTGGCAATCTTACTACTTAAAATAAAAAAGGTGAGAGAGTAAGTATGGCAGCGACAGCGAAGGGTATTTTCGGTCAAGAGTTACAAAATGCCATCGCCGGGAGTAAAGTGCTGGTCGTCGGGGCTGGAGGAATCGGCTGCGAGATCCTGAAGAATCTCGCCATGTCTGGTTTTCCCGATATTGAAATCGTAAGTGTATGCGGCTTCTCAAACCTAACCTATGAATCTTCTTTGCTCGTATGCTGTTTTTTTTCCCTTTATTTTGTTGTTGTAACGCTCAAATACCATTAAAAATACGGACACGTTCTTGTTTGTTAATACCTATTCTTCTTTTCTCAATACTTGAAAAGCTTTACAACTATCTCGCAGGTAGCTGCTGTTGGTAGTTGGTTTTACAACATCATTAAATTTGACCTTTTTCTTTCTGGATCGTTGTGGTTATCGTACTTTTGTGAAAGGATAAACGTTTGTAAAACTATACCTGGTAGATTATATACATATATTTATATTCTTTGTCAAGTAAACTTGATTCTCTAAAATCATTTGCAGATTGACCTCGACACCATCGACGTGAGCAACCTCAACCGGCAATTTTTGTTTCGTCGCGAACATGTGGGCAAGTCAAAGGCAGCCATCGCTTGTGAAACTGCTTTGAGCTTTAACAGCAACATAAAAATTGCTTATCACCACGACAACATTATGCAGTAAGTTGTTGCCAATATCCATTTGTAAAGTGTTGGGTTACTATTTTTTAAATTCATCTGTGTTAATGTGTAAATTATTGCAGATCTGACTATGGATTGCAATACTTTCAACAGTTTACGTTTGTGATGAATGCATTGGATAATAGAGCAGCCAGAAATCATGTAAACAGAATGTGCTTGGCGGCAGATGTTCCTTTGATTGAATCAGGCACTGCTGGCTATGATGGTCAGGTTGAACTAATCAAGAAAAGCATGACCCAGTGTTACGAGTGTATACCCAAAGTAGCGCAGAAAACATTTCCAGGTTGCACTATAAGAAATACACCTAGCGAACCAATTCACTGCATAGTTTGGGCCAAACACTTGTTCAAGTAAGTTTCTGGAGAGTGCATCAAATACCAGATGATTTTCGTGATATTTTTTAATTCAGAGATTATTTTTCTGTAAATTAATTGTTGAATATTTTTCCCAACCAACTACAGTACATAGCCAGCAGTATAAGATCTGCAGTTAAAATTATTTATTTTTGAGCAGTTGTAAAAGTTAATTACTTTCCTGTCTCAAATCTCCAGCAGGTGTAGAAAGTTTGACGTTATTACGTGTTTTAATAATTTTGATACACAAACACACACACACACACTTCTTGAAATAATTAAAAATAAGATGATAAATTTTTCTTTGATGTAATGTAAAAAAATTAAATATTAACAAACACTTGAACTCTTACTTTTTTAGTCAATTGTTTGGCGAAGAAGATCCTGACCATGATGTTTCGCCGGATACAGCTGATCCAGAGGCAGCAGGGGGTGAATTATTTGTTCTGTTAACTGTCGCGGTATCGTCCAACCCAAAGTCATTATAACAAATTTGAAACATTTTCTAGACACTGCTGGAGAAAGTGCTTTGCAAGCTGAAGTCAATGACAAAGGAAATGTCGAAAGAGTCTCAACGAGATCATGGGCTCAAAAATGTAACTACGATGCAGAAAAATTATTCACGAAACTCTTTCACGATGATATCAAGTACCTGCTTAGTATGGGTAATTTGTGGAAGAAGCGAAGGGCACCAACACCTTTGAGCTGGAAAAATTTACCAGATGAAGGTAAAAATATATAAAATTTTGTATCAATATTTTATTTGGTACTTGCTTGGATTTAAATAAATTCAACTGTAACAGTTGCTGGATGTAGCAAGGATGATACCAGTGGGGGGTTAAAAGATCAGCAACAGTGGAGCGTTGCAAAATGTGCGGCTATCTTTGCAGAATCAATCAACAAACTAAGTCAAACTCTTGCCGATAGCAAGAAATTGAAACAAGATGATCATTTAGTGTGGGACAAAGATGATCAAAATTCCATGGATTTTGTTGCTTCTTGCGCAAACATAAGAGCACACATTTTTGGCATACCACCAAAAACAAGATTCGACATTAAATGTGAGTAAAGTTTTTTTTTTCCCTTTCGCAAATCATCATGTGTTTGCTCATTGGTAACATTATTGTTTCAGCAATGGCTGGTAATATTATACCAGCGATAGCCACGACCAATGCCATAATTGCTGGTGTGGTGGTTTTATTTGCTTTCCGCGTATTATTGAATAAACTTGAAGAATGCAAGTCGGTGTACCTTAGACCCAAAATGAATCATAGAAATCAATTGTTGGTACCAGAGAAATGTATTAATCCACCAAATCCAAAGTGCTACGTGTGTGCCAAACAGCCAACAGCTGTTCTTGCTGTGGATGTAACCAAGATGACTGTTAAACAATTTAACGATATAGTGTTAAAACAGGGTCTTAACGTAGTTGCTCCAGATGTGATGATTGACGGTAAAGGTGTTGTCGTCATTAGTAGCGACGACGATGAAATGAGCGACAATGACGACAAAGTTTTGAAAGAAGTTGGCATCCACAACGGTTGTATTCTTTCGGTGGATGATTTTCTGCAAAATTATTCTCTCAAAGTTACGATCGTTCATCGAGACAAACCTGCCGTCAACAGCCAAGAGCCCGAATTCATCATCTCAGCGGACGCGGAAGATCTTAAACCGAAAGAAGAACCCAAACTCGATGAAGTACCTTCGACTTCGAATGGTCAAAGGGTAAGCATTTTTTGCTCCATCATTTTTTTTATTAGAAATTAATCTTTTTCACACATGCCAATTATTGTTGTCGTCGTCATTTCAGGCATCTTCTCCTTCAGCGGCAGAGGCAAAGAAACGAAAGACTGATGCTGCCGAAAAAGACACGCCAAGCAAAAAACGAAAAGTGGAAGATGAAAATGTGGTTGATAGCGACGATGATATCTCTATCGTCGAGCAGCTCAAGGTTGAATCGAATTCCGACTCTCATTTCGTATCTCCGTCAAAACAGAAACTTATCAACAGCCGTGATGACGACGATTGCTTTATTGTTGAAGACGATCACGATCTTCTCATGCAAGTAGCCGAATAATTCAACCACCAAGTATTTTTAATTATCATTAAGATGCAACAAAAATAAAACTACTTAAAGTAACGTCAGATTCATTTTGGTACATTAATGAGAGTAATGTTGGTTTCCTATTGTTTTGTAAGTTGAAAAAAAAAGAAAAAAAAAAAAAAAAAAAAAAAAATCACCATATTAAAATGTCCAAGATGAATTTGAACAGACGTAAACAGGTAAAATAGTTTTTTATGAAAAATAAAAAAATGTCATATCTTGAGTATAAAATATTAAAAATGTTAAACATAAAAAAGAGGTTTTTTTTTTTTTTTAAAAATTTAATAAATTACTTTTAATACATGATGTCCATGTATATTTATGTTAGTTTTTGATATTAAATCCATTTCATTACATTTTTTAGAAACTTACGACTGTAACCCTTAAGATACAGTATTTATAGTTTCCTGTAAAGTCATTGGGCTTCCTCTTGTTGTCTGGTTCACAAATTTCACAAGCTCTATTGTTAATAACCGATAAACGAATATAAATCGAGACTGTTGATATCTCAAAGTTCAAATATTTTCAAAGCTTCATATTTTTTTGTGAAAAAATTGGCGTACCTTGTTGGTAGTGACTATTGCTCAAAACAATATAAATGCTCGCCATTAAAAACTGCAAATGGTCTAAAACAATATTTATCATTTTTCAGATCCCTTAATTTAAGTTCGATTTCAGAAAATAGCAATGGACAGACTGGATCATAAATAAAAGAGTTAGTTGGGGAATAAATAACTAAACTCGAAAATATTTTCATTTGGCTTCAATATACGATTAGCCGATATCTTATTCTTCATAAATCGTGTCACACGGATAAAAGAGCAGAACATTCTATTTGTAATTTTTGCTGGAATTTTTCTTGAATCATAATATTCACACACGTTACTGATAGATGTCTCTTTTACTCGCATTGTATGCAAAATGTTTGACAATGCAGCAACAACGACGATGATAATATGGGCGTAGTAAATGACTGCTATGCAAAGCCAAATTCTAGATATTTTGATATTTATACAAAAAGTGGAGGCAATTGTTTATTGAAAAATGTGTAAAACGGTTGTCAGATGCTTGAAACGCAATTTATAATTACACAACGTTCTTAGAAATTAACAATTTCAATTTTATGTGGTTCTCAAGTTTATAAAAACTTGAATGGTATTATCGATTCTTTCGATAATTTCTAGCTTAACAAACATATTTTAATGCTCATGGTTTGTGCACTGAACTTTTCTTATTCTTACAGAATAAGTCGTCAGTAAATCACAGTAAAAAATACTTGGCCATGTTATTTCAAATTGTTTACATCTCTATCAAGATGTGCGTAAAAAAGTAGTTTTATGCAACTTTGTATTAACGAATAATATGAATCGTAAACAAAAAAATTTCAAGATTTAAGATTTAAGGTGAATTTGACATAAAACGGTAAAAATGAGATTGGCAAACACAAGAGAGAGATAAATCCACGTTCCTATACATTACTTGTAAACCGAGTGTTCAATGTTTTCATTTTCAAGTTACATCTCTCTTTTTTTTCTTGTTTTGGCTCATTTGCTAAGGGTAAAACAAAGACGGATAGCACATAATTTCAGGGCTAGTCTTGAAACTCGTTCTAAAGATGCTTGGTACAGAATCAAACTTGTGTATCTAGTGTATTTACATTTAAACCTAGATTAAAAATTTATTTATTTGTTTTTTTTTTTTTTTTTTTTTTTTTTTTTTTTCATTAAGAAATGTATTGTGGAAGCACACTCAAACAAAATTCTGTAAAAAAGAGTGACCTTTATATGAGTTATTCTAATATTGTATTTATTTGTTGATGAAAAAAGTTGGAATTTGTTGACAACGCGCAACTCGAATGTTGGAACTTTTTGCGTTTGATGTTTTTTTCCCTACATCCTTATCTTTACATAGATATTTACTAAAAAAGTTTGAATCATTCGTTGCCCGTTTTTTCATCACGTGCATCATTGTCTTAAATCTACCTGCGCTCGCGATAGCGCTGATGATGGTCGCGGGAGGAGCGGTGCTCGGCGTGACGACTGTGGGATCGACTACTGCTGGAAGTTCTCCAAAGAAACTCGTCAACACTGCGCTCGTAACTGCGCTTCTCCAAGCTATTCGCGGCTACGGTCGCAGCTGCAGAAGCTGCGTAGTCGGGTGGCAATGGTAGACCCTCGTAGTATCGTGGCGGAGGTGGAGGTGGTGGTGGAGGTAGCGAATCGTAAGGCAACGAGGTAATGTACGGTGGCAGAGGCGGAAGCTGATGCTGCATGGTGCGCATGTAGTCTGCTACATAGGCTTCCGCTGCAGCTGCGACTCCGAGAGCTGAACCATACCCTCCTCTGCGCAATCACGTAATTTGGCAGACGCATTACTTAGTTGGCATTATTTCATAAATCAACATAATATAAATGAGATAAAATGTGAGATTTACTTGGAATATTCGCCTCGTTCGAACCAATTGGTGTACCGATGATGGTGATGATGAGGCTGCTGATGATGATCTCTCGAACTTCTGTGACCAGAGGACAAGCGACTTCCTCTTGCTAATGACGCTAGTCGTGATCTCGACGTAAGAAACAGTCGGCGTCCTCTGCCACGGGTCCGTATGAATCTAGGAGTTATCACAGTTCTGTTTTCGTGATGATTCCTTATGGTCGGCTTCACCACGCGTTTAGCAGATTCTTTCGATTTACGCAAAATAGGAGTCATTTCTATCCCTGTATCGAAAAAAAAAAAAAAAAATAACTGCACTAGTGTTTTAAGATTGTAGTTTTAAATCCTTTTTTTCCTCTTTACCTTCATCTTCTGGAAACAATCTGCACAATTCTTCAGCTACGCGAGGTTCTATTTCTTGTCCATCGCGACCAATTTTCACCTGTTTTCCGTCGTTCCATGGGTTATACAAATGCAGCGTTGCCGTAAAGGGTAATTCTTTTCTACAAATCCAATCTACTTTGAAAACTCCTCCCAAGACTTTGGCGTTTAAACCAGGAGGCAGTACCTAAGATTCACATAAATTTCAGCAATAAATGTTTCAAACACATTTTTGTATTTTGTCGTGAAAAAACATTGCCTTACCCAAGAAATAGAATTACCATCCCTTCTAGATTCCGTGCAAAGTCTGGCAAAACCGGCAAATTTACCAGATTCTTTTACTGAAAAAATGAGCAAAACATTTCTTGATTCTTTAAAGGCTTGGTTCAGATTTGCTTCGTTTTGTGGGAGAGTGCTCCAAACACCTTTTGCTTTTGATAGCGTAACATTTTCTGCATTATTTGACTTTATTATAAAAAACCTGTAATTACAAGATTTTAGTGTGAGAAAAATATAAAAAATACCAATTTTTCACTCAACTAGGCAAAAAGCAGTCATTTTCTTAACGTTGTTGGTGAGAAAAATACTTTCTGGCTGAGGAGCAGTGAAAAATTGTATAGGTAGCACGGGAGCAAGTAAAGAAGCCTTAGATCTCACGTTTGTCATAATCGCTTTTGACTCGGATGACTACGTCTATACGTACATGCAAGATCCGAGATATTCTTTACTTTTACTCCCCACACGTATGTGAAGAACTATTGCTCGATACCTTGCATCTCTAAACAAGTAATTCAATTTCGTGGCGTAATCGTAACTTTTTGTAGTAGCTGCCGCCTTTACTATCAAACTTTCTTTCGACTTTGCTCTTTTAGCTTCAGGACTGCTGCAGGAAGCCGACGAGTCTCTTGACTGTTTTCTTTTACCTCTCTTGTGTAGATTTCTTTTCGTAGCTTCTTTCGTAGAAGATTTTGTAGACACAGAAGTGATGGATGGCTGACTAGAATTGTCATCATCCTCATCATCCTCCTCTTCCGAGTCTGAACTGCTAGATGAAACTTCGCTGCGCGTGTCATACGTCTCGTCAGCTCCAATTTTCAATTCATCTCCTACATCGTTTTCATTTTCAATATCATTTTCTCCACTGCTCAAATTTAGATTGTCTGTTTCTAAATTTTTTTCCATGCTATAAAAATTTACTATTCAAGAGACCAGTCAACTCTTCATCCAGGATACGTGTCCCTGGTTAATTCAATTAGTTGGCTGCAGCCCAACACCAATCTCGAACTCTTTCTGAAATGTGTTTACAGTATTTATAGTTTCCTGTAAAGTCATTGGGCTTCCTCTTGTTGTCTGGTTCACAAATTTCACAAGCTCTATTGTTAATAACCGATAAACGAATATAAATCGAGACTGTTGATATCTCAAAGTTCAAATATTTTCAAAGCTTCATATTTTTTTGTGAAAAAATTGGCGTACCTTGTTGGTAGTGACTATTGCTCAAAACAATATAAATGCTCGCCATTANCAGGCAAAAAAATATTTGATAATATTATAAAATTATTAAAATACTCGATGTTTTTGACAACCGTTATTTTTTTTAATAACATAAAGATTTAAGTGATTCAAGTATCCGACAAAACAATGATTTGTAACTAAAAAAATGGTTTATTATTAGTAAATATGACACAAACTAAAGGGTTTTAAACCTGACCTCCAGACACAGTAACAGTGAGGTTCTCTCACACATTTGCTGTTGACAAAGTATCTGTTTGCAACAAACCAATTTTCAACCATCTCCAGTATACTTGCTAATGTTGTTAATTTACTTAACAAACTAGAGTTATGTGTTTAAAAAACATGTACGTATATATTACTCGTGGATTTAAAACTATAAGCACGTTAATGCTGTTAATCAAGTTCTGCTTGATACATTATCATCATCATCATCATCATCATCATCATCATCATCATCATTATTATATCATCATCATCACAGTCAATCACACACAAACATTCTCAGCACTTGAAAGTCCTATGTTGTGGTTTTTTTGTTTTCTATAAAAGTTTACCAAGACTTGTAGCAAATGAAAAGGAGAAAAATGCATGTAAAATCAAGTCCATCAAAATTATCATTCACTTTATCAAGATGCATGAGCGTAGACTCTGTAATATATAAATATCAATTAATGCAACTATCAACTATTGCTCACTGCTGGAAAAGTTTTTTTGCACAATTTTACTCTCTTGAAAAATCATAAACTTTCAGAAATAAAACAACTTTGAAAACTGCACCATCAACGAGACACAGAACAAGTCCACTGTAAATACCGTGCAATCTGTGTGTACATATGCATGTATATATATACTACGTAGACACACACAAACACATAATTTGTACGCCCGTAAACATATGTATGTGTGTGTGTACATAAATTATTGTATGTATCATATTTCGTGATAATTCAAGTGCATACACGCGGGTATACTTCGTATGGGAAAATCTAAGCACGATCAATACACCTGATATTAATCACTTTCCCGTTTAAACGAGCAAAGCCCTTGATGCTTGCATCAGGCATGAAAGTTTGCGACTTAATTTTCTAACTCATAATCAGTTCCATTATTACGCACTACTTTATGTATTTATACACACATATGTGTATATGAATATACATACATATAGGCACATCAATACCTATATGTGCACTTTAATCCTTATTTCACAAATAAATGATACTTATACGGCACACAAAACGATCGATATCGTATGTAAACTGATAATATGCTGCATTTACAACAAGAGTTGAGCTGCTGCAAGTAGATACAATGCCGTCATTCCACTATCACCAGCTGAACAACTCGTTTACTCGTCTTATATCGTTACAAGGCAATTATATAAAAATTACATTGAATAAATAAGTAAAACGCGCACACACACATTAATCGTCGACTCCTTGCTCTCTTTCTTTGTTCGGCGTCGGGAAAATATAGCTCGATCCTCTCCTCTAGCTCCTAGTCAGAGGATGTTGGGATAAATGATACAGTACATAATATGCACTCTACAAAAGGTGAGTATTATATGTTTCATGCAGCTGCCTGCAGGTGTTTCAATGAACTAATCAGTATTTTATAGTATGATGGGTACTTGTTTAGTATAATATCAGGTAGTACAATTGTTGAATGTACAATCACTCCAAACTCCAAAACTCCGACTCCGAACTCCGACCGATGCCGTGTGGAGCGTGCCGCGTCATGGGTGAAGAGGATTCCCGCAGTAAAAATTACGGTCAGTAACATGAAAGTTACTGTCACTAACATACTATGTCAACAAACTTCGAAATTTTTTGCTGTTTTTACTCCCTTGCCCACCACCCAATATTTCGCAGTTTCTTGACATGCGGAACTTACCGACAGTTTCATAGCATCCGATACCTCGCTTAAGTAAGCAGTTTTTTTCGATAATCCCTAAAAAATAACCAAAAATAGCGATAATGCGCATGCGTAGTTTAGGGGTTATCCCGGTTTACCCGGTTATCGAAAAAACTGCTCTGGGGTGTTTTCCGCAATCGTCACCAGCAAGTAATTTAAGGTTGCGCTCTACGTTACCATCAGGTCGGTAAGTCAACTACCTTGAATTAACTGGCGCTCTGTTCCGTAATCTGGCCAGTTAAAATAGCAGACGACAGTCAACAGCGATGAAATCTTCACTTTTTCCCCGACTTTCACGTCGCCTGCTGTCTTAACTGGCCATAGATTACGGAATAGAGCGCCAGTTAATTCAAGATAGTTGACTCACCGACCTGATGGTAACGTAGAGCGCAACCCACTATTACTTGCTGGTGACGATTGCGGAAAACACCCCTGGTTGACGCTAGCGCTGCCCAACCATGCGGCGTTAACACGGCCTACGTTACCTACGTAGTACCTTAATTGCTGGTAGCATTTGCGGAACACAGCCTCTGAATTTTCCATTCTGGTAAAGAGAGCACGGTGTAAGATATACGTGAAGTTGTGTGTAGTAATATAGTAATCACTACTAAATAGTGCCGTATACTTAGTCGATTTTATTAAACTATATAAGTAGAATAACTATATTTTTACATGTCGATTTTCGGGTAAAAGATAAATTGTAAACTTGCCGCAGATAGCACAGTGTCAACTTTATTATTTACAACTATGAAATTATTTGCGGCTGTCTGTGCTGTTTGCGGCAAGTAAGGCAAGTTGATAATCTATCTTTTACCCAAAATTCCCAAAAATCGACCTCCTATGTAATTATACTTTTAAAGGTAAATTTATGGGTGGAAGATAGATTATAAACTTGCCGCAAACAGCACAGCTAATGTCAACTTTTTATTTTATAATTATGAAATTATTTGCGGCTGGTTTATAATTGATTAAATGGCTCTAGGCCCTAAAGCTCTGATTCAGAATTTTGGAGGCCACTTTTCGCGAAAAAATTAAGACCGATAGATGACGCTGATCCAAATAATCATTACTTTTAAAAAGTAAATTTTTACAGTATAGCTATTTAATCAACTATAAACCAGCCGCAACTCATCTTATAGATATACAATAAAATGTGACAATGTCTGTGCTATCTGCGGCAAGCTTACAATTTATCTTTTACCCGAAAATCTACCTTCAAAAGTATAAACATGTAGGAGAGGGGTTCTTCTCTCTTCTCTAAAATTTTTTTTTTCTTCATCAGCTACCGATTCGATTAATTTAATCAAGATTTTTTTTTTAATAATCAATATTGTAGGTAATAAAAAGTAACAAAAATTGCGAGTTTTTTAACAACGTCTGCAATTACTTTGCAACTTTCTGTAAAAATAATAATAAAATAAATTTTCCCCAAGAGAGTGAACTAATGATTAACAATAGTTTCTCTCTTTAATAAAAAAAAAAAAAAAAAGCAAGCGATGTAAATATCTTTATAAATGTGTATGTTATTTTCTATCTATAAAGACACAAACGCGTTGCGATGTTTCAACAGTTTAAAAAAATTTTTTTTTTTTAATTTAAGTGATGTTCTACGTTACTACAAAAACAATAAGCAAGTATTTTTTATCAAAGCTCGAGTCTGATGTTGGAATAGAATCTTTTTGATCTCTCACTCTCTTAGATTTCTTCATCATTTTACGTAGTATTCATTATATATATATATAACCTTTTTGTAAGCGGGGGTAAGCATATATATCCAATATACTTGTAGTTTGTTTTCAGATAACCCGGCCGATATCAAGTATCTTTGGCGTACTCGTTTGACAGATTTTACTGGTTCATTAACAGTGTTTGCGAAACTTAGTTATTAATTAGTGGCAGCGATTGCAGAGAAAGTTTATGCACAAAAATTTGTTTAGTTGCTAAATATGTATTAATGAAACAAATATCTATAAATTGAATTTTACAAAGAAGAATCTATTTTAATCACGAGTTGACAAACCTAATAAAACAGTTTACGTTACTGTGTTTTACAAAATTCACAAACCGAAGAACTTCAAATTTAAAAAAGTACATGTATTATTCAGAAATCTTTTTTTCTTTTCCAATTTTAGACATTTTCGTTATTCGTAATAACTCGGGTGAAAAGTTGACGCAATTAAAATATAATAAATAGGAAAGTGTTAGCTGTCGTCGTTGTAACGATTTACGTGAATAGCGTGCTTCTCCCCATGATACGTTTTGAAAATTTGACTCAATACTGGCGAAACTTGTGGATCTTTCATCCATACACTCGTCGATAGTGGCGTCTCGAGCATGGATAAATAGGCTGAAAATAATAAGAAATATTGACGATTTTTACGACAAAGCAATCAATTTGCAGCATGTACGTGCAAACAACACATAAATAATACCAAGCAACATCTTTGGATTTGCCAAACTTAATTGTATTTGAGGATTATTCATTATTGCACTATAAATCGGGCCATCTGGATCCATACCTTTGTAAGAATTTTTTAAGCTACGTCTTCTTTCTCCAAGTAACCAAGCACACTACAATCAATGGTAATTTCGATTCAAAGTGTACGACTGATTTTATTAAAATAACTTACAGCATTCGCGTGATTGTTTCCCGTTATTTTGAGCGTTTCTATGATTTTGGGTCTTTCAAATCCCATTTCTTCCAAAGATTCAATCAACTTTGGATCAGCTTTGAAATCAAGTTTTTGATGCTGTTTATAGGTGTCCAGCAACAAATTTACCACATACATTAAATTTCGTTCCTTCTGCACTTTTGGTTCGTTGCCTGAATAAAGAAAAGAGAGGAGAAAATTTTTTTTTTCTTTTTTGTGGAAAAAAAATTACTTTGTTAACAATCAACGGAAAAATTTTCAAGATGAATTTTGTCAATTATTTTTCTTCAGAGCTTTGAAAAAGCATCTTTAAAAAATTTCGTTCTAGCATCGTCCAACGCACCTGATGAGCTAGGACCAACTTGATCGCCCAAGAATGAATTCAAAGATGAAAGTTGCAAGTCTTCCTCATCATCGGGATCATCTTGATGTTCCAAGAGCCATTCCAAAGCTTCGGACGCGTTCATTCTACAGAACAATTGATAATCAGACACTGTGGTGGTTTCAATTTTTGAGAGAAAAATCTTACTTTCTCAATCTCAAGGCTTTTAGAGCTCTTCTTTCCGAAAAGCCCATATCCACAAGGTACTTTACAGCCTTAGGATCATTGGGAGGTTGTAATTGAGCTTGTAATTTTTCTTTGATTATCTCGTAAAACTTGACAGCATCTGGACTGTGCATGAGAATTTTCGCAGATGTCTGAACAAGGGTGACTAAAATTTTCCGTATTTCATTCTGAAACTAAAAGTTAGATGAAAAAATTATTGACAATGTCTTAGTTTGAAATGTTATATACATTTTCACGTATAGATGTATATTACATCAGCTGGGCAATCGGAATTGATTGCTGGCTTGGGAGGATTTCTCACAAACAAATCTTTCGTGGCTTTAATAATTTCATCATCCAAAGGTCCTTTCAGAGCTTCTTCGGACAAATTCTCTTTTTCAACCAGAGGTCTAACTTGAACCAATAACAATTCATCTGCACAAATAGCTTTAATTAATATTATTCATTTGAAACAAGTTTAATTATTTCAACAATAATACCCGACTCGGAAATTTCTTCGTCTTGTAAGTTTTTCTCATCGTCGAGTTTTTTCAGCTGTTCCGAGTGTATCAAACGAAATTGCCTACTCTTTTTATTTTTGTCATGCCCATAGAAATGTTCCGTGGCAATTGATTTGACTTTATCGATGGTGAATTCCAGGGTTACAGGAACGCAAAGCACTGTTGCTTCCAGACTTTGTAAAAAAAAAGAGTTTTAAGCCAGCTTAAAAATTTAATAAAATATATTTAGGTTCAAATATATAATAAAGTCACCTGATGACGCGAACGATGAAGCTTTCGGAAGTAGCTTGCATTCCTCTGGAACGATCGGAAGAACCATTGGAGTGTTTTTTAGCACCCCTTGAGCTCTTCCTACTATTCCAAGCCTCCGTAATATGCTCCTTCATCCATGGAAACATCAATTATATGAATCTGCACAAAATAATAGAAATGACACAAGTACGTGCAAATGGAAATTATTATTATATCTATGGCAAAAAAAATTATACACAAAAAGGTTAAGTATGAAGTACTTGACGCTTTCTGGAATAGAAAAAAAAAAATCCATCAAATGCAATGTTCAACTGCTCACCTCGAATTTAGTAACTTTGAAATAAGTTTATGAGAAAATTTCCGCAAAAACCATATATACACGATATTTCTTAACCCAATCTCCAACTCCGACCTCCGACAACAGCCCCACCGACGACTGCAAATTCGGCATTTGGCTATGTTTTGGTGACTTGCGTTGACACTTATTGACCGTTCATTAACATCCCAATAGTTAAAAGTTTTAAACAAATTTTGATGTTACTTGTCACTATTTTTACTTAAAAAATATTGTATACTCTCAATCTTACATAAAAATGTTAATCAATACAATTATCAACTGTTTTCTGGATTATGCGGATGTGTAGGTATATCTTGGCAATTATATATAGTTGTTGGGTATTGATTGCTTCAATTTTTTTTTTTTTTTTTTGCGTTTCTCGCTCAAATGGAAGTGTGTGTAAGGTGTGTAAAATATAAAACAGAGGTAAATTGTAACACCTAAAATTTTATTTTTGTATACTTACATAAAAATTATACAAGTGTCAATATATATTTGTTTAATTATCGGTATGACAAATTCATTTACATACTTACAATAGCGCGAGTGTAAATATATATATATATATATATTTAAAATTTATGGGTCCATAAACTATACAAATATGCGTCAACTTTGAAACAGATTCTTTGTTTATAACTAAAACATTTACGAATAAATTTCTTTGTTAATTCCTAAGATTACGAGAATCTCTATACAAGTCTTTGATGATTATCAAAGGGTGAAGCAAAGGGAAAGTCCTCGAGCTGCTCGAGCTCGTACAAAGTTTTCTGGGTCTTTTAGTAGTTGCAGCATTCGTTGAACGTCTTTGGGCCTTGGTTCTCCAAATAGGCCTAAAATAAGTGCAGACGTTGCTCGAGTCACTCCATTTTCCGATCTTGAATATCCTCGAACGACGGCGTTTCTAGAAAAAAAAAAAANGTTTTGTTTATCGCTCGGTTGAAAAAAAAAAAAAAAATAATAATAATAAATAAAAAAAATAAAAACACGCACGCGCATACATAAATTTTCAACATAAATCCCAAAATATTCTTTTCTGAAGGAGAAAAGGGGGACACTATTACAATTTTTGTGGCACCACGACTTTTGAGATGCGAGGGTTTGAAAACGAAGCGAGATGATGCGTAAAGAGGCACACGGTGTTTTTAGATGGTAAAAAATGCTCATTTTTTAGTACATTTCATGATCCCTTTGTTATTTTGTGGGGCACCACAGAAACCGTAATCTTCCCCTTTTTTGAGCTACTACTTTTTACCTAAGCTCTTCAGCTCTCTGGGGTAAATCAGTTTTCAAACAATAGATCAAATCTCGTAAAAAATTTTCTACATCCAGTTGTTTCCTGTCTGGTCCAAAGTGAGTCTGGATTACGCGAGTCAAGGTTTTACATTGCAATAGACACGCCGAATCGTACCAAACTTGCCTCGATGCCTATAATTTAAACAATAATATTTCAGCCAGATTTATTTCCTAGTTGAAATTATTATACATGTTAGATATTTTTTGACGCAAAGCTCACCACAGCTATGGCATCGACGTTGTCTTCGAGCTTAATGGCCAAGCATGGAATGCACGCGAGGAGGTGGTCAGTAATATCGTCGTCGGGCGATCGCATGAATCTGCTCTGCCAGCTTCGAGCAATAGCTCCCAAAGCGCACATGGCCGCCAGTCTCATTTCCCAGTTTTCCTTTTCGACAAAGGGTTTGAGGGCGAGAACGACGCGTGGACTGATTGGTTTCTCGGTCGTGGTTGACAGTAAAACCGATAAACCGCGCAATGATTCCAACACCACGTCGGTACTACCATCGACACTCGATGGCTCTTCCAAACCATCCAGCAGCGAGCACAAGCAATTGTCAAAGTATTGTTCCACCTGACAAAAATTGGCAAATGTTTTAAACAATGTTTAGCAACAGTAGTAATAATCATGCCGCAAAGCTCACGTGCTTGGACTCCAAATAGGCGACTCGACCAAGACCAATGGTAGCGAGTTTACGAACAAGCGGCGATGAGTCGGCTTTTGCTTCGTACAGAGTGTTGATGATGGCGTCTAGCCAAATGTCATCGCAGTTGAGTTTGTCAACGAGCTCGGCATAAAACCCAATCGAAACGGCTCGCTGAGTCGCCAAAGTACTGGTCACGAGTTTACCCAGGTATCGGCCCAGATTTGCCAAGGAATCGCTCTTTTTGGACAAGCTTCGTGCAATCGCGTGTACCGTCCATATTACATTTTCTTCCGTTTCCGCCTGCTCGGACTCGAAAGCCTGCATAATGAATGCTTATACAATAATAACGTTCACGTACATAATTATTAATGAGTTAATTTTGAAGGTCAATATAATATTACACAAAAAATATTACGTACTTGTGTACAAATAAATAGACTTACGGCCTCGGTCGAGGGGATTTCTATATCCTGTTGTGTGCCAATAATGTTGAGAATTTTCGATAAGACAGCGTACACCTCGCGATACGGGACGATTTTGCAACTCTGGCGATTGGGTACAAAGCCGTATTTTGTGCTGATGATTGACATGGGTGGATCCACGTGGAGCCATCCAGCCAAATATTCCAACAAGACGGCAAAAAGTTCGGGCAATCGTCGGCTCACCAAATCCTCGGCTTTTGGTGAATTCAACAATTGCCCAAGGGCTACCACAGCCGCTAAAGGAGCAAAAGCTGCGCTGGGACGCTTGCCGTCGTCCGCAGTTCCACCTTGCAGCGCCGAATCGACCAGCAGGTTCTCATTTTGCAGCTTTGTCAATAATAACTCCAAGCTTCGTGAGCCCGTGTCTTCCGACTTTCCAAGCTCCATCCAACATTCCTTGGTCCCACGGTCCAGGGGCAAGGGCTGGTGCAACAGGTGCTCCACAACCTCTTGCGGGTGTTGCGTGCTCAATGATTTGACGGCCCCTGCCGCTCCTCTTTTACAGCTGGCATTTTCCATTTGCCTCATTTGACCGATTATCCCATCTATTTTGCGTGTGGTGAATACAATACACGCACAAAGCGCCCCATTTAAATGAAGAAACATCGAATGATAATTAATAAAAATTGTATAGCCCCACCGATTAAATATAAATTTGCTCGCGGAATGTCCAAGCCTCGGAGTTTGAATAATTCTGACAATGCGATTCCAGCAGCGATTCCGCCTTCACCTCTGTACAGAAGAGCCTCGACCAAACCATCGGCCAAACTCACGACCTCTCCACTTGCTACTCTTGCACATGCAGCCGTCGCCAGATTCTATAAATTGTTTGATATCGTTTATTTTCTCGCAGGCTATCATCAATAGATATACTATTAGATGTAGAACCAATTTCATTTCAACCTTTACTCCCGTGTAGAGCGAGATGGCGTCTTCGCCAACAATTATTCGCTTCGTCTCGCTTAAATCGTGATTTAAATTACTATCCGGTAAGGTGGAGCGGTGCCTGGCCCCAATGTTCAAAGCCAAGGCAACGCAATCGATAACTAGCGGGCGCAAACTAAGATCCGAATCAGCACTCCAGGCTAAAAATTTTCCGAGAAGTTTACCCGGTTCCAATTTACCACCTGGATACGTGTACTTTAAAGCATCGTGATACGATCTAAGGGTCGTTCTAAGAATAAGCAGAGTAGTCTTGCGTTCCGCGCTAGATTTCGATTGCATCCACGGTAATAAAATGTCAACGAGAAGGGCCAGCGTGTCCGACGAATCTGACACGATTTCGCTACTGATGACGCCCAAGTATTCGATAACTTGCTGCATGACTTGGGGCATCTTTAAAGCTGCAATCTGTAACTTGATCACACGATAAATTATTACTATTATTATTATTTTTTTTTTTTTCCATCAAATTACGATGCGACACACGTCATCGTGTACCTCTGAACTGGCTGCTATCACTTTGTCCATGGACGACTCGAGAAGTACTTTTTTTTCTTCGTCAGTTGGCGGTGGAGGTATTATTATCAATGAAATAATTGCCTTGAGAATCAACGGATAAAGCTGTAGCGGCCTGTAACCCGACGACGAGGACTGAAACAGTCCCAGTAGAATAGCCAATGCATTACCACGAGCTCGCAGTCCGATCGAGTCGACCAGTCGATTGGGATGCATGGCCTCGCCAGCCTTGAAATGAAAAAATTTTCACCTGTTTATCAAGGGATTACTATTACACAATTGTATACATTACTCGTCGGATGGCCAAGAGTCCTGCCTCCTTGGTGCCAAGTTCCTTGCAATCGTTTAATTGTCGAATAATCCAAGGAAAAATGTTGTTATCCAAGGAAGTACATAGAGCCACCGAGTCGGCCCTCAACGCTATCTCGGCGTATGCCTTGAGCAAGCCAGCTTTCGCGGCCTCGTTGTTGGCCGCGGCTTTTGCATCTCTCACGAGGCCGAGTAGCCGTACGGGTTGCTTGCGCGCGTCCTCCACGGCACAAGCCTCCTCCATAAGCTTGAGGACCATCTGCAGGCGGCGTTTCGCGCATATACCCACGGCTCGGGCGTATTCGGCGTCACTGTTGTAGCTCGCGCTGCGAGTACGGGCCAATTCGATCAATAGGCTCGCGTGCTCGGGTTTATTGACTAGCGCGGCCAAGGACAGGGCAATCGAGGGCGTGATGATTGGCTTGTCCGCCAACTCGTTGGCCAGCTCTTGGGCCCAGGTCTCGTTTTCTTCAAGAAAATCGACGAGCCCCCGTTCCCAGAGTAACGCGCGTTCCGTCCCTGTCGCTCCCGATGGATTATTATCCGCTACGGTGTTATACTCCACGATTACGAGTTTTAACAATTCCGACAGCTTTGCGTCCCACTGGGCGGGCCTCAGCAGAGCCGGTTCAAACAGCGGCGCCGCGCTTCGTAGAAACATAATCACGGGCGCGCGATTCTTTTCCTCGTCAAGGAGTTCGAGGCAGCGCCCGAGAACTCGGATGCTTGGAAAATCATTTTTTTCGTCACCTGTTGTTACGCTGTTGTTCTCCTCCTCCTCCTCCTCCTTCTCGCGCATCATTTTTACGGCGAGCGTCGATAAAGCTCGCAATATCGGTCCCACCTAAAATTTATCCATCAACCTCATCATCGTTTCAATAATATCATCCATCATTATATAGGGCTGCGCTTATACCGAAATCACGTAAGTTTGATCCAACAGAGCATTGATCAGAGACGGCCAGAGCCAAGTTTCGGCACCTTCCACCGTACTCGACAATAAATGCAGGGCTTCTTCGCAGGCATCGGCCTCGTCCGTTTTCGAGCCACACTGTAACACCTTTTCGCACGTTTAAGTTTTTTTGTTCAACAGTCATAGTTGGTAGTACCACCCCATACCGTACTTACGATAAATTTAACAAAGGAAGAGCGCTGAGAGGAAAGGAGAGGAAATGTTGGCCTGGCGGCAAGAGCAACCATCGCACTGACAAGGTGTCTTGTGTAATTTGCGTCTCCCAAAGAATCTTGCAGACTCGAAGCGATTCTTTGAAAAGCCGTGCTTTCCTAAAATTAATCGTGACTGATAATTACATGACCGAAATTGAAATTTTATTCAAACAAAAAAAACGTTACCTCTGCTGGTAGCGTATTGATAAAATGTCTGAGTACAACCAATGCTTTTGAGCGCTGAACAACGTTTTGAGATTTCAACTGTTGTAGTATTCTACAAATGCATTTTTTTTTTCATCATCAAGTAAGTAACGGTGTCGTAAATAATTGGAATGATTATTATATTTCAATTTACCTGTCCAAACCTTCTTCCGGATACAAGACGACAATGGCTTTGAAACACTTTAATACCTCGTAATGAGCCAACAATTCGTCCCTGGCAGCTTCAAACGGAGCAATGCTGACCGCTTCCAGGAGAACATGATGAGTATGCTCCAAATGAAGCCTGAGTTGCTCTTTTTCGTCACTGGTTGCAGCATTTAAAATTAGCGAGAGTACCCTCGAAGCGGCCAATCTAGTATTTGGCTTTTTAAAAAGACTCAACAGTGAAGGAGTCACTTTGGGGATGAAACTTTCATCCCAAGTTTTTGGTAAAAGGGGTAAAATCGAGGCCAGGCATTTTAAAGTGTTTTCCGTGACTGTTGAATTTTTGCTCGATTTAAGCCACGAATAGGTCAGTACTTTAAAAGCACTCGACAGTTCATCAAAGTACATGTCCTTATGCAGTCCTGTATTGGTTGTTATTTCGGTATTTGTGAGACAATCAGAGATTGCATCCGATAGTTTTTCAATGGCTAAAAATCGAAAAATTTTGTCACCGTATGTATTAAACATAAATTATGTCGTTAAACACCTACCAAAGGTAGTTGCCAATTTTAATTGCTCTTGATTCATGTCAGGCATTAGTGGTACTAAAAAACTCAAGGTAACTTTTATAAAAGGTTGCATGCCGGTTGTATTCTTTGCGGCAATCATTCCAATGACTCTGATGACGTTGTGATGTGGCACTATATTTGGCTCAAATCTGATGATCAAAGTTTCAACTCTTGTTAAAAAATATTTCAAGTGGTTTAAAAAAAAAAAAAAAAAAAAAACGTACTTGACAATGAGTGCACCAATTGATTGCGAACATTCTTTTTTGCTCAAAGCGACAAGCAATTCACAAGCCTGTTGGGAAGCAGGGCCAACTATTTCGTTTAAAGCTAAATCTGCTATAGATGTTGCCAATGAATCTTCCAAAGAATCGACGTAATTTTGACAAATGTCAGACATAATTTTTAAAACCGCAATCAAATGAATGTCCGATATCTAAGGATAAAAAACAAAGTTGGTGTCAATCTTTTGGGAATTAATCGCCAAGTTGCAAATGTTGAAACCTTTTTGTGCAGTTCCCAAAAATACACGGCAGCATGAATAACAACAACAGCTTTTCTCTGGGACAGTTTACGAATGGACTCGATGGCAGATAACTGCACAGTTTCATCTTTATCGCTTAGAGCATCCAAAAGAGCACCGACGACAGCTGTTGATCAACTCACACAATTACCATGCTACATGTATCAATTTTTCAAACACAATTAATTTCCTATTATTACCTGAAAGTTGGTCAAAACTCGACTCGTTTGCATCATTTTCGTCCTTCATTATTTTCAAGTTGAAGGTGAAGTTTAAATTATGTTACAAAACTGCATTAATATGGATTTAAGAGAATCACTTGAAACAACTTGTTTATATCATCACTAAAAAACACTTTCAAGAGACTTTTCAGTCATTCCCATTTCATCAACAATATAACTGTCTACCAAAAAACACACGAACGCACACACACACACACTCTTCTCCAGCCATTATCGCCCATGCATGACGATTATTTGACGATGGCGTTATAGGTTATGTTACACCATCCTCCTAAAAATCAGGTGTGTGTAATATATACATATATATGTATACGTGTGTTGAGTAGGAAGAGTTATTACAGATATTAATTTGAAAAAAATGTATAAAATTTATTGTCTAACCAAGTAAAACATTTATTTATGGATTTATTTAGTGTGAAATGGGCAAGTTATTAAAACTTTACGTTTACATCAAATTTAAAAAGTTGGAGGTGGTCCCATTAATTCCAATCCTCTGCATTCTAATGCAATCTTCAATCCAATGGCAAATAATCCCATGCTCTTCACAATAGACCTAAAAACGGAATTAATTTTTCGTATCGGTGAAAGTTACAATATAACAGGAGTATATGCCACAACCTGACAAACAACAAATACGTTTATCGAAGACACGGTGACTACTTGACTTACCATTTGTAAGGGTCGTAATATAAATTTTTGACGTGTTTCATGTAGGTCATCTCCGAGAACTTTATATTCAAAATTTTTAATATAATAACAAGACTACCGCTTTAAGCACAACAGCATAAATACATGTGCGTGTACGTGTACTTATTATTGTGCTGTGATGTGAACTGCGAAGGCGGAGAGGGGGAAGATGAGCGAGGAGAGGGAGAGTCTTGACGCGCGGCAATTTACGAGATATTTAAAAATCAGGGATTCTCTCAACTCGAGAATGCCTCATGTGTAATGGACACATGCAGCAAAGCACACGTTTTGTCAACTTAGGGTGAGATTACATGGAGTCTGGCAGTCTGCAGACTGGCAGAATCGCGCTAAGTTTAAATTATGTTTAAATTATAACATCTCAGAATAATTTAGTAAAATAAAGAAAAAATTGTAATTATTGTCATAACAGAATAAAGGCTTAGTTACAATCAATTTCATTTACAATAAAACGTGTCAAATATTATTTTATAACTTTTTTTATAGATTTATGTTAACATCGCACAGTCGGTCAGTAGGGTCACTGATGTAACCTGGTATGTATAACAGTATGTAACTGTGAAAAAACGTTTTTCGTCGCCTTTTTTTCATAAATATAAATTAATACAGAAATGCAAATGTATTACGATAATTGTTTCTTTGCTTACGTAACAGGTTTTAAATATTAATATTGAAACATATTTTAAACTTAGCGCGATTCTGCCAGTCTGCAGACTGCCAGACTCCATGTAATCTCACCACCACCTGGAAGCTAGCACGCAAATTATCGACTTATGCAATAAAAAAATACTAGGCGACTTGTTTTTATCTGCACATTTCATTTATGCAAATAATTGGATCTGCACATGCCTCAATTTTGCATAAAAAAATAAAAAAATATTTGCGATTTGCAGGACGCAGTTGGATAGTGATATCTCGGCAACAAAGGCATATTTGCAACTGCACACAGTTTTAACAAACTGCACATTATCCATAACTCACCCTTATTATACAGGCCTTTGGGCTGTCAGCACTTTAATTATGCGCTTGCATGATATCACAACTGCCTCCTTCTGAATGTTACAAGTGGCATATATTTTTGTGTAGATTACATGCGTATATATTTATCACTTATACTTGTTAACGTATTGCTCCTCTAAACTGTAAAATTTACTCTGTTTTTTGATCGCTGTTAAAAATTGAGAGCATTGTTTTGCACTTGGGCATTTAAAAAATATTCATTTATAAAATAAGGCCGTGGTCACATGGAGAGCGTAAGGCCGCGGGCACATGAAGAGCGTAATGCATACCGCGTAACCATTTGAGCCCATAAGAGTGAGAGAGAGGTTCGCGTATTTTACTTCTCTCTTACTCTTATGGGGTCAAATGGTTACGCGGTAGTTGGTACGCGTTACGCTCTCCATGTGACCGCGGCCTAAGAATCCTTCTACATGTATAGACATATATCCTCTAGTTTTATAGCTCTTAAAAGAATCATTATCACGTGACTGTCGACAGAATACGCCGTGATCTGATTGGTCGTGAGTCGTGAGGGACGAAAGGTGGTACATTTGAATGTACATATGAGATTAAGTAGACAAGCGCTGGGGCTACATCTAGCGCCCTGTACAGACTAATTTAGGTCGTTCTATTCGTTTGAGCTTGGATTTATTTTAAAAATTTAATCATTCGATTTAGATTAAATAATTATTAGAAATATGTTTAATCAAAAAAGTTTGGGGGGTTAGCACGCGAAGCGCGCAAGGGGCGAAGTATATAAATATATGAATAAAAACAGTACAACTTNGATTAAATAATTATTAGAAATATGTTTAATCAAAAAAGTTTGGGGGGTTAGCACGCGAAGCGCGCAAGGGGCGAAGTATATAAATATATGAATAAAAACAGTACAACTTCCCCGTCGCAGTCGTCGCTGATCGTTCTCGCGCTAGTCGCACACTCGCACTGCTCTGGTAGTCTGGTCCTCTGGTTCACTGTTCTCGCACACGTAGCACACAACACACACTCACACACGTCTTGTTTCTCACTCTTTTCAAGGGGGCCTCTCTCTCTCTTGCTCTCTTTTCTTTTGTGTTTCGAACTTCGAAGCTGAGGGGAAAAGGCCAAAGTAAACGGGACGGGAAGAGAGCATCGCTGGAGGCTTTCAGCGTTTCAGCGTGCATTCATTTTTTTTATTTCATCGTCGTCGTCGTCGTCGTCATTCCCGTACGTGTGTTAATACATCTTCCTTGATACTTTTCTTCTTGGTCATCTTCTTCTTACTCGTTGTCATGTTTTTCAATCACAGTGGACTGACATAATTATTACAAGCAATATCAGTCTCGGCATCGGCCCGTCCCTATCAAGTGTTTTACGCTCGTTGTACTTATTAGCTTTTTCGTTGTCACCTTTAAATTATTCTTTTTCTCCTTAGTGACAAAGGCGATAAAAAAAAAAAAAAAGTATAACAAGTACAAAATACAACACAACCGACAGTGTAAGTATATAAATTATGTACATACATATATATTGTAACATACATTCACCCTACCTTGGGCGGTGTGGAGACGGAAGTTGTACATCCTGCGGGAATGCTGCGCGTTTATAAACGACTACAACACTTACATTTTACAAGCTTTGGATTTTACTTAAAAAAAATTGATTTTAACAAATACATGATCCACTAGATGAAGATAATGCGTTTTGTCTATTTACGCTGCACCTTATCAAATTAAATCAAGTCAAAAGCATAAGCTTTGGTATTTCTTATTATTTACTGCTTGCTGTTTTTTATTATTGTCCAGTGATAGGTATATGGAAAACTGTCGATTGCACTTTGTCCGCGTAAAGTCAAAATACCTTCAAATTTACCCTGAAAAGTGTGCAAAGCGTTTAAATGTATTGAAAAGTGTATGAGAATCATATCAACCCAGTATGCCAAAATAATTTTTTTTTTAACCTCATCCGTTGTTTTAACAACTATAATACATACATAATTACTTGTCAAGCATACGACCAGAAGTACAACAAAATTGAATTGAGCTTTACATTTTTGACAAAGATATTTCTCACTCATAGGTACATCATTATTATAAATCGTGAAAACAAATGTGTCAAGTAGTATTTACTCGTACATATAATCATACTCTTATTCCGTGCAATCTTCCTTAAAAAAAAAAAAAAAAAGAACCGTCAATGTGTTCATTGTTTTCTGTTTCAGATTCATTGCAATCTTGTAAAAAATGGAAGCGGGGGGTGTTTTGACAGCAGAGCGCAGTCCAGCTCGAGCAAATTTGCATGTGGCATTTACGGAGAAAGGTGAAGTCAAGGAAAGAAGAGAAAAGTTTCTCACAGCAAAGTACGGATCACATCAGATGTCTCTGATACGCAAAAGACTTGCAGTCGAGATGTGGCTTTTCGAGGAACTTCAAAAATTATACGAATCCGTGGTAAGTAAATTGTTGTACTTTATACCAAAAACTTTTTAATGTTCTAAACGACAAAGGCAACAATTTTCCAACATGGTAAAACTTGTGATTTCAGAACGAAAATAGTAACGGTAGAGAAGTCGAAGTCGATATCGATGAACTTCTTGATATGGACAGTGACGATCACAGAAGGAGTTATTTACAAGTAAATTATGTTTTTTCTATTTGCTTCATTTATCAACATTTTGATTAATTAAAAATTTTTTTGTGTAGACTTTACTAATGGATGCTAAAAAATCTCCAAATGATGTCAAGGTGATGTATATGTAAATGTTTGGATGAAAGTTTATATTGACTTTTATGAACGTAATAACCAAATTAACAATTTCAGAAATTTATCAATGAACTTTTGGAGAAAGCCAAAACTCTGTGAATAATCTAGTTCACTACTAGAAACATCGCATATTCGGCTTTTTAAAAAGTTGCAACGTCAAGACTCATAAAATAGATACGAGTGAAAGATATTTTAATAAGAAAACATTTTGTCTTTAAAGTGTACGGAAAAAAAACAAAAACAAAAAACAAATGTGTACTGTCAATCGTAAGCAAACCACGATATTATTGAACAGGGCAATGGATAAAAATAAGCTGCTAGTGTGAAAAAACTGCCCAACAAAGCATTTACGTTAAAACTTTATAATGAAGTGAGTCGAGTTGTTTGAAACATTTTGTGTTAGTTTGACTGTACATCGTTTGAAATAGAATTGGTAACGAGTACGGAATGTTTGATTGTTTAATGATGATTTTTATTCCGATATTTTTTATCGTACTCGAGAATATTAATCGTGTCATGTAATTTCTCTCTTGCAACTATTATTTTTGTATTTCAAGAACATTTGCCCAGCAGCTTCCACTTACACGATCTCAAAAATACTATTATCAATATGTCGAAATCTTACATTAAATGTATCTGCGCTTGAGATGTATTTCACGGTCCCTACTTTTTTTTATTTATAAATTATTTACTTTAACGCTGGACCACATTCGTGTAACGTGAAATACAGAAAAATAATAACCTTTTATCCGTCCAAGGATATTTCTAATCATTATACCAAATTAATACTATACTCGTAAATATAATCAATTATCTCGTAGTACTTTTGAATTAATTAGACTGTTGATGCATAATCATTTCATAAAACACGAGTAATTTGTGGATTTTAAATGTTTATAACTCATGGTTAATATAATTTCAGCCCAAAAAGTTGGCTCGTACATCGAGCAAGACTCTGACAAAACGTTCAGAAGTGAACCACAAAAGACTTAGCAATCAAACGCTTAACAAACACTGTAACGAGATCTGACTTATTTTTACAATCGTAATGTTTTTTCTGGCGGTTGTACTCATATCCATTAGCAGCTGTTTGAAAAAAGCACTTTAAAACTCAATAGTCTACTTAATCAAAATTTGGTTGAATACTTTTCGTTATCAATAAACTAATGAATAATGATACGATAATTAATTTTATTTTACATTTGCAAGCAATACAACGAGTATTATCGATCCAAAAAAATTTACTCGGTATATCAAATGCTAGCTTTATTTCTCAGGTGCAATATGAGTATGCCTTTTTTGTAAAACGATTAAGGCATATATATTTGGTAAAGATGAAAAAGTTGGAGAGCCAAAGGAAAAGTAATTTACAACCTTAACAATTTCAGTCCTTTTATAAACGATTTAATACTTTTGTTCATCATAACGGTTTACATGAATTCTAGTTATCTCGATGATAATTATTAAATGGCTGAGCAAGTTTTACTGGTAGCTTTAAAATATATTCCAAGCCGAGTCTTTCGACTAGTAACAATTGTTAGAGAATAAAAAATAAACTAGAGTTGTACATACTTGTGAGGGTTGGCACAAAATTTGAATTTTCCCTTGGGTATGTATTACACACCGTGCGTGCTCTCACAGTTTTGATAGAGTGCGTGTGTATTTAATCTGGTGAATTCATTAACACCAAAGTGCTGCATTTAAGTTGGTTAACTTTCAAATTTTTCACCATTTGTCGTAAATTTTATAATAAGTCTCTAAAATATTTTAAAATAAAGTTATGAAAATTATGATACTGCTAAATAAATCATTCTGTTTTATAAAGCATTTTTTAAGGATGTTTAAAAAAAACACTTATGTGACCGATTGTCCAATATAACAAAATGATCTTGTTTTAGAAAATAAATGCCTAATTTTTTAAATATGAAAATTATTGGCTGCTTAAATTCTTTTGTATGGAAATCAATTGCATTAGAAAAAAAAATGCAACAAACGCAAGGCTAAATAAAAAAGAGTACTTCTTACATGTTGCTAAAATATAGAACCTGTATTGCTCGTGTAATGGGTTTTTTCTTTTATATTTTAAACTGTAGTCAAATTCAATTGCGACTCTTGTCAAAAAAAAAAAAAAAAAAAAAAAGGACGATGATGTCACAAAGGTACATGAAATTTTGTAAAAAAAAAAAAAAAAAAAACCAGTAACTAAACAGCGAAAATAAGATAAAATAATATGATGGACGCTCAAAGCTTTTAAGCATACGTCTCGAATACACCAAATATTGCGCAAAAGTTTAAATTGACCTGTGATAAGATAACGTGCTTAACGCACGAAAAAATTTCTTGCCCCTTCTGGAAAAAAAGTCGAAATGTAGCAACCAAAGAATAAAGATGGTTAAAAATTAAAGGTAAGAGTGAGGAAAAAAGTTGTGCAAAATGCATGCGTAAATTCATGTCAAAGAAGCTGTTATGGCAGATCAATATGACAAGTAATGTATAATCTTCTTATTTATGTTAAAAATAAGATAAGTATGCAGTAAACAGCTTTATAAAAGATTTTCTTAGTCGCAAAAGTACATTTGAGAAAAAAATCTCAATAATTGTATCAGCGTTGTATAGTAGGTGCAAAATAAAATAAAATTTTTTATAGAATTGAGTCAAATCAGATTTTAAATCATTCAATAACCCAAAAAGATTACTTTTTAGCAGGAATCCGATGATATAAATACTATAATATTGTTCCTAGAACACAGTTTTCTATTCGTAAGTTTCTGTGTTATACCATTCCATCGTTCCTACAACACAGTCTACTTCTCCACAGTTTCTGTGTTATACCTTTATAGCGTTCTTATAACACAGTCCACTATTCTAAATTAGTCACAGATATTACAGAGACGGTGATTGAGTCCGAGATTATGGCCATAGCATCAAGTATCATTGATAAGGGCAGTCGAACTCTGTGTGCAGAAACATGTACTTTTACGACCCAAAAAAGTACGCTACAAAATTAGTAAGTGCATATATTACGAATTTACAATTCGTCTTCTAAATTCTAATCCAATAAGTAGTGTTAGCTAATTATAATTTTTATTATTTTTATTGCGAAGAAGGAGTACGTATGCAACCTATTATCCAACGAAGAAAATCTTCAACCAGTGGCAAATCCAGATTGGTCACTGTTGGGAAAACCTGTGATGAAGTTTTTCCAAACAACGCCCGCGCCGTGGTACCAAAATCTGTTGGGTAATTATTTTTGAAAATTTACTCGCGCCTGCAAACATTTAGAACGATGAGACTACAACATGGAAACAACTATTGGTAAATCTGTGTAACGGTTAACTCGTAAAAAACAGTAAAAGTCCTTGAAATGGATGCTTGATTTTCCATAATTGTCATGTATTTTCTCCTTCCTTGTTTTTCCATCGCGTAAACAGCAAACGTCACAATGTACTTTTATGCTTCTCTTTTCTNATATACATCTATATACACGTGATTTTTCTTAAAACGTTCCATAACATTTTAGGTACGTTAGAGTCGACTCCAGAAAAACCGGTCGTCAATGCTGCCAAGGCAGTTGAAGTACGTAAGAAGGACACTGCTCCAGTACGACAACAGGATACGTCGAAAAATAACAAAGTAAATGATTACGACAAGGAGAAACTGCAAAAATTACTGACCTCGTTCGCAGTGCCAAGGAGTCAGTTGATTTTTTTTGCACTAGTGCTCCATCCCACCAACTTTGGAAAGACTGTTGAAAATGTACTTTGCGTAGCTTTCCTCGTTCGCGATGACATCGTGAAATTCGTATTAGGTAAGAATAAATATTGTACTGGCTTTATTGCATTATTGTGTTGTTTTTCACTGCATATTTTTAATATTTAACTTGGTGTTTACAGATAATGATGGTTTCCCGTTCGTTAGAATATGTGACGACGAGGATAAAGCTGCTGCAACAGGTAGCCAAGTCCAAAATTTATTGAGTTTATCGATGCGACAATGGACAGTGAATATCAATCAATAACCCACATTTACAATGCCAGGAAAGTTAAAAATTCCTAAAGACGATTCAACATAATGCTCAAGCTCAGGTACGAGACTTTAAATCGTGCTTTGATGCCATCTTGAATGGGGTGCCATAAGGATTGAGGAAGTGCCAAATTATCACTAATTTCCCTATACCTCCATTATTTACGACTAGCAGCCCCCCGTCTCGGCTTCGCCCGAGACTTACTAAATAAAACACCGTAGTGTGTTGACATGTAATGTGAAACGTTTTCAGTTAGAAATTTTACACATATTTCTGACACATCTCAGAACAAAAATCTTCTTATTAAAAACAAATTTTTTCCGAATCCATTTAGTTTATTTGGTCAAATAATAAGGTGTAAGAATTCAAAAAAATAATTATGCTGAAAAGTACCTGCATTCTTTATGCCATAAAATAACCGTTGGCAATAAGAAGCCGTTGATTTACAGTTTCTCCCGTGTAATTCACAAAAAGGGCTATTTTTTAAAGCTGTTAAGATTTTAAACTCCCAAAAAATTTATATTGAAAAAAAATTTTTTTTCTCATATCTCACAACTTTATTACCAGAGCAACAAAGTCCTGGACCTTAAACCCTACATTTTTTTTGCCACAAAAATACAAAAACATTTTCTAATTATTTAAAAACCTTAATTCAAATCTTTAAACATTCAAGAGATTACTGTGAGGGTAAAATGAAAAGCTGATCTCTCACGTAATGGATTCTTTATTTCTAACTTCTAAATATCTACTATTTATTGAAAATCTTAGTACTTCTCTTTTAAATTTACAAAATAACTATAGATTAGCAGAATTACCATGTAAATACCCACTTTTTTATTCAAATGCCCTTTTAATATATAAATACCTAAAT